AATCATAAGTAGAAAATTTCAATAGGTCAGGAAATAAATGGTCATTATTCAGGATAAGATTAATATAGGTATACTCAAGTTCTGTCGGAGAGAGTGCATAGAGACGTTCGCGGTGTAGGCACATCGCGGATTGTTCGCATGAGAATCTCTCGAAACTCTATGAAAAGGGTAGGACAAGATCGCAATGCGACCGCAAAGGTCTAATGGAAACGCATAATTTAAAATAATTGAGGTTATTGGGTTTCCCTTTTTATTCCTAATAATTATGGTGGCATCGATAACAATATTTTCATGATGAGGCTTACTTTTATCTAAAAAACTTTCATCGAAACTGTGAATAAGCATCAATAATGCCGTCACTTGATCTAAATGAATCCCCGCGAAATTGACTAAAGTCGGTATTCTTATTTCTGATAGCCCGCCCCAGACCTTCTGTAAACTTGGGCTCAATCAATTAGGTTATCAAATGAGGGGAATTTACTTATTCAAATTAATTCGTGGAGTTTAACAATGCAATTTATTCTGGAAGTCATTTATTCGGATTTAGTGAGAAATAAAGATAATCACGATTACTCGGAATATTTTTCATATGAAAAAATCCATAGTGTAAGCGCCGATCCACGACATTTACCATGCTATGACATTGTATTGCTACTAGACAGCTAGAATTTACGATGCGTGTGTTTGTACTTTGTGAGAAAATGAAGAGAAAATGTTCTCATTCATTGGATACTTCCCCAGCTACATGCCGGTTTCGAACTTATTAGTTCTCTTCAGTGCAACACAAGCGAGCATACCTCAGATAACAAGAATGATATAACGGTCACAATGCCATCTTGGGAGTAAGCGAGCCCAAATAGCAAGTAGAGCCATATCATTAAAGTCCTATGAAGCAAACTGAAAATCACCTGTGAGAGCAAATTGTTTTTAGTAATTCAAAAAGTGCATTTTCTGACATTGTGACGAATCTAATCGGCATTTCTCCATTGTCCTGATTAAATGATTTGAAATAGGAGCCTCTACAGGCAGTACGTAGGCGCTCATATGGCTCTTCGTGCTAGCCCCCATTTGGCACATACATGTCTTAGTTCTCGAGGTATTTTACTCTGCTATTGACGAGGGCGTCGCATTCACATACTATATGCTTGGTAGTTTCGCATATTTCGCTGCAAAACCTACAGTCCGCCTCAGTAGTGAGTCGAGTCCTATATTAGTGTGTAGGTGGAGTCCAATGTTCTCTTAGGATGACTGTGATCACTCTTAGTTGGTTCCTATTCAGTTCTAGGAGCATTTTTGCCTCTTTTCAGTTGTAAGACCTTATATAAAGTCCATTGATTGTCTGAGGCCTCGGCCCTCAAAGCATTCGTCTTCGAACTGGTTGTTGTTATCCAATTCCTGATCTTGGCTTTCACCAGACACGAAGCATACCCCAGAGCAGGCCGGCTGGCCCAATAAAGGTTGCTGCCTTCAAGAGTCAGCTGGTGCTTTTCCTCGCTAAATATATAGATGTACGTGCCCAAGTATCTTCTCTAGAGATTCTCCTAAGCACAGCGTAGATCTCAGTCTTGGCATACCATTCAGTGTCGACCCAGTGCAAAACTGGTTCTCGCGTCGGGTCGCTCTCAATATATACCAACTTCTCTAACTTCTTCAATTAGAGGCCCGTCTAGGTACCAGATACGGTCCTTCAGCCTAACGAAGCCAGCGTCAGCGTTATCTAAGAAGGCTGACGTGTTTGGCATTGCATTCCTTACTATCTGTCCAGGCTTTTGATTGTATGTCCCAAGTTCCACCCACTGTTCCTAATCGTTGAGTGTCTCGAAGTCTCTCGATTCCCCGTATGGCCTCTATTCCCAGCGTTGGGGTGGTTCTGAAAGTTAGTGCTTCCCAGCTTTTTCCTGTAGGTGGATTTGCTCACGTTCCACTAGACAGCTTCCTTACGCGGTCATTGCCCTTATTTACTGCAGGGCTACGCCAGTGGACTATATGGGTTTCTAAGTCCTAGGTGTGTCCAATAGACCTTCTGTAGGCCCATAGGCTAGCATAGGCCCTCTTGACGACCCTGTGAACGTGATGTTTCCTAGTCAACCTGGAATCAATTATCAGTCCTAGATATTTAACCGATATGGATGATGCAATTCTTCACCCAAAGAGCACGAGCCCGCCCAGGCACATGTTTCTTCGGTTGGTGAATAGTACAATATGCATGTTCCATTTGATGGTGCTGGGTACCTGTTGTGTCTGTTTACCTGTTCCATTTTGCATAGAATCGTAACCAGTAATTAAAGTACGGGTATTTATTAAGGTTTTGCTGGGATGATTATTGTAAGTGTCTATTGAGAACATTATGTCATTATGATTGATTAAATATAGATTTTCAATAAAAGTAATTATCCAAACTCTGTATTTGTGAGTATATAACTAACAATTGACGACAAGGATTTTAAGAACCAACAATGCCAAGAAGACGTACAAATGTGGTAAGTGAAGAACCATCATTACAGCTTACTGCCGCCTCATCCACTCTACATACAACTGCGCATTCAGTACATACAGTTTTCTCCATTGAAAATTTTGATTCATCAAAGAAATTTGATCGGTGGTTAATGAGGTTAGAAAGTGCATTTACGATTTTTGAAGTTCCTGATATTAAAAAATGCGCTCATTTACTACATTACATGGGACCAGATGCCTACGATATGCTGTGCGATAAAATTTCTCCAAAAAAACCTGATTTGTTAACATATGAAGAAACAGTGGAAATAATGTAGTTACACTACAATCCTGAACCATTAGAGATTGCCGAAATCTTCAGATTTTTACAACGGAAACAGCATAACGGGGAGACTGTTAACGAATATGTTACTGTTTTGCGAAAATTAGCAGCAACGTGTAAATTCGAAAACCACCATGAAAAAGCAATAAGAAATCAATTTGTGTTTGGATTGGGTTCAGAAAATATTCAAAGTCGGTTACTGGAAATCAAGGATCTTACTTTAGAAAAAGCTATTGAAGTTGCTACAAGTGTTGAGATGTCAACCCGAGATGCTGCCCAACTCCATGGTGGGAGAGTAAATTATAATATGAACCAACTTAAGTTACCAGAGAAGAAGAATATCACGACAGATAATATCTCCCAAGGATATGTTTCTCAGCAAAATTTTAATAAAAATTCTTTTAAATGTTTTAGGTGCGGTTCAAATGAGCACTTAGCAAACAGATGCAATAAAAAACGCTTATTCTGTAATTTTTGTAAAAATGAGGGACATCTCAGCAAGGTTTGTATGAAAAGAGAAAATCCAAGTAATGTTCATGCTAATCAAGTAGAAGTGGAAAAAATCCTCTCATTAGACCATAGTGAATTTCGAAACAAATTCATGATCTTGTTGCAAATTAATGATATTAATTTAGAAATAGAAGCTGATAGTGGAGCAGCTGTAAGTATTATGAGTCATACTATGTTTAAAGAATTGTTTCCAACGACAATAGTACATTCTACTGATTCAAAACTAGTCAGTTATTGTAAATCTAATATCAAAATATTGGGATTTGCAGAAGTTGATGTTAAAGATAATGACGTTTCCAAAAAGTTAAATCTCTACATAGTTGATCATGAAAAAGAAGCACTAATAGGACGTGAGTGGATTAGACAATTGAATATAGAATTTACAGGTAATTTACAAAAAATAAATAATTTTGCTAACGCGGATTTAAAAGTTCAAAGTTTAATTGAAAAATATGCTCAAGATATAGTTAAAATACGTATAATATTCAAGCAAAGCTCAATATTAAACCAGATGCAAAACCGGTGTTTTTAAAAGCACGAAAAGTACCGTACTCTCTTATTCCTAAAATTGATAAGGAGCTGGTACTTTTGGAAGAACAAGGGATTTTAATTGAAATTAATAGTTCAGAGTTTGCTACTCCATTAGTGCCAGTTGTTAAGGCAAATGGTAGGGTAAGGTTGTGTGGCGATTTCCGTAGTACTGTTAATCAATGTTTAATTGTTGATCATCATCCCCTTCCTACCATTGATGAACTATTTTCATCCATGGCAGGAGGAGATAAATTTACAAAACTTGATCTAAGTCAAGCATATTTGCAAATGGAGGTTGCACCAGAAGATCAAAAATATTTAGTTTTGAATACTCACAAAGGCTTATTTAAATGTACACGTTTAATGTTTGGTATTTCCAGTGCGCCTTCTATATGGCAACGCGAAATAGAAAATATTTTAGCGGATATTACGAGAGTATCAGTATTTCTAGATGACATTTAGATCACAGCTGTAGACGACATTTCACACTTACAAACTCTTGACACAGTTTTGAAACGCCTTTCTGAATATAACATTCATGTAAATTTGAATAAATGTCAATTCATGAAATGAAAAATAGAATATTGCGGATATGACATCGATAAAAAAGGTATTCATAAGTCTTCTAGTAAGATTGAAGCGATACAAAATGCCAAAATACCTTCAAATAAAACAGAAGTCAGGGCTTTTATTGGTCTTATTAATTATTATGGACGATTTTTCAGAAATCTGAGTCATACTTTATTTCCATTAAATAATTTACTCAAGAATTATGTACCTTTCCATTGGACTAAAATTTGTCAAGAATCGTTTAATAAAATTAAGGAAGACATTTTATCAGACCAAGTCTTAACACATTTTGACCCGACTTTACCAATAATCTTGGCAACAGATGCAAGCTCCTATGCGGTCAGAGCTGTAATATCCCACGTATATCCAGATGGAAGTGAACGTCCTATTCAGTTTGCATCCCAAACACTAAGTACAACCCAACAAAAATACACCCAACTAGATAAGGAGGCATATAGCATTATTTTTGGCATTAAAAAATTTTAGTATTTTTTATTTGGTAGAGTTTTTACCTTATACACAGACAGTAAACCTTTAATACATATCGAGGGTTTCCTGCCAAAAGGTCGTATCAACCAAAACATGGATTTAGAGAATTCAATAAAAACATTTCAAAAATCGGTGGAATTTTTTTCCACATTATTTATCATCAAAAATTAATATTTGTAGGCGTATGTTTCGGATATTATTATTTACTTGATGAATTTGGTCAAAAGAAACCGTAAAAAAATAAAATATGTTTATACGCCCTTCTGGTTTGTTGATTTATTAGTGCATAATGGAAAAATCAAAGGCTTATACGCAAAAGTAAGAACAAGTTTATTAAAAAAAAAACGAAAAAAGACAAATTCTATTTGAAAACTTAATTTCGATGAACTGAAAACGTGTAAATATTGGGACTTTTCATTTTCGCCGCTTAGACAAAATTTTCTCCCGCATTGCTTGTAAACTCAGCTCGTCATCGTCATCTGTATCGTCATTCCTACTTTCATTTTGAATGGCTGGGAGATTTTTATAAAAATCGTGGTATTCCGATATAATAGTATTGTCTTTGCATAATGCCATTAAATCTTCATACTTTTTTTTAGATATCGGAATTTTCTCTTTGTAAGCATTTTGTGGTTGCGAAATAATAGAAGAACGTCTTCCTCGTCTTAAGTTAGTATGGATTTCTTTATACTCATCCCAGTATTCGCACTTGACGAACATTGAATTCTGCAAATCTTTTTCAAAGAGTAAACATCTAACATCCTTCCAATTCAAAATCGTCGAATCGGTAGCCTTGTGAACATTAGGCATTTGCGAGGTTTTAAAGCTTTTGAAATCCAGAAAGTCGTTGAATGTCAAGCGATTTACTTTATACGGCAACCCCCGTTTCTTGGCCATTCTCACCACATTCTCCCAATCATTGGGCACATAAATTTTTGCGTACTCGCTAGCCTTTTCTATAGCGGAGTGCATTGAATCACACTCCATGTGTGTGTGTCCTGGCTCAAGAAAATTCATTTGAATTGTTTCCAATCCATCATGCTTCGATAGTGAATATTGCAACATACAAGCCATTATTGCATTTTTATTTTGGCCGGGGCATGAGTCCGAATACAATCGTAGATGTTTGGTTTCTTTGGGAAGAGTAGATAAAATGAATCTTGATACGCAAGTTGCTATCTCATTACTCCCTCTTTGACCATTTATTTCGTCCCATAGAAAAGCATGTCCTTGCTTGGAAGCTACCTCATAAACCGTGAGATTAAACACAGCAAGTTTGCGTTTATAAAAAACTGGTTTCCCAAAAAAAATAGGACAATTTAGGACAGCTTCTAGGTCAAAGTTTGCGCAAACAATAGATTTATCTTCTTGGGCAGCTGTTTTATCGGCTTTCCTATGTTCATCTGCTGCATTCTTTCTTTTAACGTGAAGGTCATACTCTTCTTTGGTCCTTCCTGTAACATTACCTTCGGCTGTGTCATCATCATTAAAGTTATAGCACCAGCACTGGTCCTTTCTTGGATGATAGAAACCAATGTTTTTCTTTATAATCGCTTCTTTGTATATTGTTTTCGAAACGGGTTTATTCTGCGTTTCCTGACAATATTCTAGGTATAATTTATACATTATCTCTTTATTTAAGTTTGCTTCCAAGTATTCTTTGCTAGTATCTCGTCTACACCAGTGAGATGGAACTCTGGGAAACGAGTCAATGTGATTATTCATAGCCATAATGACATCCTCTGGAAGCTTATTAGACGGTACATGTCTGCCTCGTTTATCTGGGCTTGGCGCTCTAATAGTTGATCTACCGCTCTTAGCCAAGGCAACTCTAATTTTTTTATCAGAAATATTTAATGTATTCAAAAACATTACTTTGCAGACAGGCATATCAGCTGATTCGAATGGAAGTGTGTATTTCAAAGTAAATTTTCGCCTAGAATGTTCTTTTCTAGGGCAAGCAGCTGCTGTTTTAGTTACGCATCTGATTAAAAAGTCGTGTTGCCTCTCTAGGCTTCCCAAATTCCAAAAATTTTGGCAAATAGTATTCCTAGCTAAGTCGCTAAGCCTTTCATTGCATTTTAAAATGCAGCTGCAACTTTCCTTTGGAACTTTTCTGGGTTGAACTCGACCTAGTGTATCGGTATACTCTTCACCAAGTAACCGTTTGGTTTTCCGAATGGTCTTTTTCCACATTTTAGGATTTTTCCTCTTTCTTCCTTTGCTTCTCCCATTTGGTTCATCATTGTTTTTCGCTTCCTCATTTTCTGCATATTCATTTTCTTCAATCTCTACATCGTCAGGTTCATAGTCTGGATCACTCATAGAGTCATCTAGGTCTTCTGCTTCTTCAGTCTGTACATCTTCAGTTTCAAAATCCGGGTCCTCGACGGGGTTATCTAAATCTTCTGCAGATTTCACAACAATAGCTATTTGGTCTAACGGATGAGCAGGGTGAAACTGTTCCGACTGCTCCATAACTTTATCATCTTGAAAATCTGCGCTCTCAATACGCGAAGTATTTGGACCAATGGAGTTTATTGAGTCAAAATCAGTTATGCTTATATCAAAGTTTGTAGTGACATTTATTTCTTCTAATGGCACTACTTCATACGACCAATCGTTTTTAAGACATCTATTTTCTGTAACATTATCTACACCTGAAACAGAAATAAAGCTGTAAAATAATAGTTTTTTTTTGTGTCCTGGAAAAAACTTCAAACGTTTCTTCTTGATGTCTTTTTTGAAGGCGGTTGATTACCTTAAAATAATTAGATTTTAAGTAAGAGTTTTTACCTCTTGTGAGAGCCACGTTGTTTTCTATTCTATTATTTCCAGTGGGAACTTTCTCTAACTGAACGTTTTCCACTAAATGATTATCTGTAAGAAATAAAATACATAATTGATTATTCACCTTTTAACTGAAATGTGAGATGTATAGGTACTTGAGACTTGAATCCAAAATTCTTATTTTCCATCTTTCAAATTACCTGAATTTTTGACGCCTTTGGACGAAACCGTTGGAACTTCGACGTTCATCATCGTAAATATCTTTTTAATTCTTGTCGACATTGTAATATTTCAATCACTTTAGTAACACTTTCAACTATGTAATAAATCGTTTTCCACCACTCTAGCACGTCTGCATTCACAAAACATAAATATAAACAATAGAAAATCAGAGAGATTTTTGAGGTTATTTATGCACATACGACCTTACATACGGCCAGCCTTCGCATGATCAATCGCGACGCCAATATACTAGTGTATTTTGTCATGCCAGAATGCCACATGTTCATACGACCTTACTAATAACTCACTAATAATATACTTTTGTCATGCCAAAAAGACGCATGTACATACAACTTTCTGGCAAGTTCAACTTGCCGATAATTGTAGATACGTCTAAAAAAATAAGCAAGTAGCGGCGTAACCACCTGGCGGATGGATACGACCTTCTGGCACGAAAAATATACGACTATAAGAAAAAACATTACGTTAAAAGCCCAAAATCGCAATTTTGTGGATACGCCCTTCTGGCAGGAAACCCTCGATATTATATTTTCTCCTTCAAAAAGCGTATCCGCATTTACTACAACCAGAATGCAGCATTATTCACTTTTTCTATAATCTTTTCAATACGATATCAAGTACAAAAATACGAAAGATCATGGGAATGCTGAGGGCCTGTCTAGATTACCAATTTCATCAACAGGATTCAATATACAAGATGAAGTAGACGTTTTCGAAATCTCTCAAATAGAAACTTTACCAGCTACTCTTAAAGAATTAGCAGATGAAACTATTAAAGACCTGACCCTAAATAAAATTTTAGTAGCTTTGGAATCAGGTAAGAAGTTGGATAGGAAGGATTGCATTACATTCGAATATTTCTGAATGTTCTATTCAAAATGGATGTATTTTTCGAGGTCATCAGGCAGTTATTCCAGGAAATTTACAACGGAAAATTCTGAACGAATTACATGTAGCACATTTTGGCGTAGTTAAAATGAAATCCCTGGCTAGAAGTTATTGTTATTGGCCAAGCATTACGACAGATATCGAGGATATCACAAGCAATTGCGCTGAATGTAATAAAATTAAAAATAATCCAGAGCAAGCACCAATACATCCCTGGGAACCAGCAAAAGAGCCATTTCAACGAGTTCATATTGATTTTCTTGGACCGTTTTTCAATACCTATTATTTTATTTTAGTTGACGCGTATTCTAGATGGCCTGAAATACATGCTGTCAAAGATATCACTACTGAAAACACAATATTGTTGTGTGACAAAATATTCTGTTCTTTTGGTATTCCTAAAGTTATTGTTAGTGATAACGCTTCGGTATTTACATCATACAAATTCAAAAATTATTTGAAAGAGAATGGAATTTTTCACAAATTATCTGCACCATATCATCCTGCTACGAATGGGTTAGTAGAAAGATGTGTGCAAACATTTAAAAATTCTTTACAAGCAATAATTGGGAGCACCGTAATGGGTAGACAGAAGCAAGTGAATATATTCTTATTACAATATAGAAAAATTCCTCATTCCATCACCGGTTTAAGTCCGACTGAATTGTTTTTGGGTAGGAATATTCGAACTAAATTAGATTTGATAGCACCTAACTCAACTGACACTTTTGAATGCTTGAAGAAGACTGGGACTCGAGAATTTATGAAGGGTGAGAGAGTGGCTGTACGTGAATGTAATAATTCTAATAACAAGTAGAAATTTGGTAGAGTAGATGCAAGAATCGGCAAACTTCATTATCTCATTCATTAGACAATAATAAAATTTGGAAACGTCATATAGATCAAATTACCAAAATAGGTGAGTATACACCGTGTCGAGGAAACAATTCTCGAAATTAGGTGTGGATCATTATACGGCCAAGTAAATCAGTTTTCAATTAAATTTTATTATTACAACTATGCGGAGATGTCACGGTAGATTGATATGCGTTTGTGCTTTCGTTGTTATTTATATTTGTAATATGTTTTATAAGAAAGGGGGAAACTGTTGTGTCTGTTTACCTGTTCCATTTTGCATAGAATCGTAACCAGTAATTAAAGTACGGGTATTTATTAAGGTTTTGCTGGGATGATTAATGTAAGTGTCTATTGAGGACATTATTTCATTATGATTGATTAAATATAGATTTTCAGTAAAAGTAATTATCCAAACTCTGTATTTGTGAGTATATAACTAACAGTACCCTTCTCGCCACGAGCATGACGTCGTTATCCACATAGCTTTGGGTGTATGTACATACCTTACTCGTTCAGAGTGCGGAGTAGCCCGCCAGCACTAGGCACCACAGCAAGGGCGATAGTACACCTCCCTGCAGGCAGCCTCTGGGTTGAGCTGGTCTGTGTACTTTCATTCGAGGTGTTATGATTCTATTTTATTTATTTATTTATTTATTTATTTATTTATTTACCAAGCTTTATTATCCAAGAAATTGATTCTTATATTGACAAAGCAATTATCCACTACTCGACAAAAAAAAAATAACTAACTTCAATTCCCACCCGGGCCTGCATACTGACTAGGAAGTCACCGCAGGATCTATAGATATGTATATACTTATTTGTATCTCTTTGTATATTTTAGGTTACATCTGGTTAATATTAAATTAAAAAATAAATAAATAATTGAGAATAGTATCCCAGCAAACACTGCTTGAAGTTATAAAACCCTAGAGAAGCGGAATCCCGCTATAAAAACAAGCATAGTAGAATCTGTGGTCAAGAAACTACTGTCCTGAGTAGAATGCCTGTTTAAAAAAAACCTTCCTACACTTCTTTCTGAAACTTTGAAGGTCGCTGATTGCCGCGTTTCAACAGTTATGTGATTATACATCTTAATTCCATTACAAATAAACGAATTCTTGACGAGAGTGAAGTGTGGTATTGGCAATCTTAGATCATTCATCTCTCGAGTCAGGTAACGTTACCAGTTATTTCGATGAGGGCACTACATCAAGAATGTGGTGAGACAGAGAGATATCAGGAATGTTGACAGTTTCTTTCATAGGCGGTTGGGCATCGATTGCATTGCAATCGATCAAATTCGGCTGTTTCGTCCATTTGCCTTAGGCAGCGGCATGGGATAGGAGAGCTCCTTATTCCTCAGGAATTCTATGTATTGGTCCCAGTTTGTGTTACGGGGGTTCCTTAACTTACTGAGCCCAGCTTTGTGCGCAAGGTCCAAGCTAAAGAGGATGTGTCTGTGATCCGTCGGGGATGGTTCAGCAGAGATTCTCCACTTGCTTATCATCGGGACCATGGAGAGTGATCCCAATGTCAAGTCAATCACCTCTTGTCTATGTCAAAGTTTACAGAAATAAATTATAAGTTGCGGCACTCTCTGTCGGCACTTTGAAATAACGAGATCACAAGACACCGCCACCCCTTGCACTCGGTCGTAAATCAAACTTCGATATTCACCTAGCCGCTGTCGTTACGGGGGGATTTAAAAGCGTAGTTTCATTGCACCTAGAGAATATTTGTATACAGGGCCTGTTCCAAAAGTTTGGGCGCAAGATAGTGATAGCAAAGTTTACGCGATAGATACCTAGTTTTGTATTAATTTTATTTGATCAACACGTTTTATTGTGTTGATTAGAAAATTTTAAACTGAAAGTAAAACAATAATTATTTACAGGTACTATCTATATAACGATGTATATAAGTACCTTTCTTCAAAAGAAATATTATTTTCAGGGTTACTTAAGCCAGAAATGCTTAAAAATAACCGATAATTTCCATAAAAGCTTTTTGATTATAGTTCCACGAATTGGAAGAACGGACAGAATTTTACAACAAGCTTGAATGAAAATTAGTATGCATTTATTTTATTTTTAAATTAAGGTAAAGCAGGTATTATGAACTAAAAATTTAATCACAAAAATAAAATCTAACCTGTCTTCTTCTATTGGACATCAAAAGAATGGTAAACCGCCTTTAAGTGCAACTATTTACTGCACAAAAAGCACCAGGCATTCTAAATCTTATATTTGTGCCACCCTGTACTTGTCCGCATAAACCATTCTTCGAATAGGCGAGATCGGCAAGAGCCACTGTATAGAAGCTGGGATTTTGGACGAATGGTACTGATTCTCAACAGCGGTCTGAGGTAAGGGGTAGGCGGTTCTACCCTTTTGTGAGAGTGCCGCAACTTATAATTTATTTCTGTAAACTTTGTCTATGTGAAGTGACAAAGGTCGGTGCGCTGCTACGGTTCTGGATTTCAAGATCCGTAGTGTGTAGGTACTGACCAAGCCCGCTCCGGTTCGTGTCTGTGCTACCCAACATCTTGTGGTGAACGTTGCAATCGCATCCCACAAATTGCGGTGAGCTCAGTGAAACGTAGTACTCAATCAAGTCAATGAACTCCCATGCACTAGGTCTCTAGTGCAGAAGTTAGCTATTAGAGAGGACGCGATTCATCTGTCAACATAGATGTGAGCCCTTGGATTCAGTTGCGTCACGTCTCTTATGGAAGAAAAAATGTTTGCAATCTAAGCGACTTACGCGGCACTTGTAGGACCAAGGTTCTCGTAGGAGATATATATCATGTATCTGCGCCATAGCTATGTGACGATCTATTGAGGAGGTCACCCTTTTGCTATTCTGCAAATTGAAGTAGGTATCTCCATCCTTGGTAAAGGATAGAGATGAGAGCTATTCCTAGGTCTCGTCATTGTTTTACAAAGCACAAACACACATATTGCATATTCTAGTTGTGAACGAAATTGGTAATAGGTAATTTTGAAGGCGCTGATGACGTCGGAATCTCGCACAGTACCAATTACAAATACAAAAGAAGAACAAAACACAAACTAAAAATGTGGTCGAAAGTGCAACAGACAAATTGAAAGAGATAAAGAAGATCTTATTATTAATATTTCAGTAGCTGCGAGTAATGAACAAAAGATTGAAAATATAGACCAGGAAATCAGACAAACTCTCCTTATATCCCTTACAGACGCATGATGGCCCTGACCTGGCCCTGTTGTTTTCTTGGATTT